TGATAAGATGAAGACCACATCTTAAAAGTCACATCCTAGATGAAGACCACATCTGAGGAAGAAGAAGAGATGAAGATCGCATCTTAAAAGTCACATCCTAGATGAAGACTACATCTGAGAAAGAATAAGAGATGAAGACCTCATTTCGCAAAAGATAAGATGAAGATCGTATCTTAGAAGTCACATCGTAGATGAAGACCACATCTAAGGAAAAGAAGAGATGAAGACCGCATCTCGCAAAAGATAAGGTGAAGACCTCATCTTAAAAATCACATCCTAGATGAAGACTGCATTTGAGGAAGAAGAAAAGATGGAGATCGCATCTCGCAAATGATAAGATGAAGACCGCATCTTAAAAGTCACATCTTAGATGAAGACCGCATCTCAAGAAGAAGGAGAGATGGAGATTGCATCTCGCAAATGATAAGATGAAGACTGCATCTTAAAAGTCACATCCTAGATGAAAACCGCATCTTAAAAGTCACATCCTAGATGAAGACTGCATCTGAGGAAAAAGAAGAGTTGAAGACTACATCTCGCAAAAGATAAGATGAAGACCGCATCTCGCAAAGATAAGATGAAGACCTCATCTTGCAAAGGATAAAATGAAGACCACATCTTAGAAGTCACATCCAAGATGAAGACCACATCTAAAGAAGAAGGAGAGATGAAGATCACATCTTGTAAAGGATAAGAAGAAGACTGCATCTTAGAAGTCACATCTCAAATGAAGACCTCATCTAAGGAATAAGGAGAGATGAAGATCGCATCTCCTAGAAGATAAGATGAAGAACGCATCTTAGAAGTCACATCCTAGATGAAGACCGCATCTTAAAAGTCACATCATAGATGAAGACCTCATCTATGGAAGAAGGAGAGATGAAGACCGCATCTTAGCAGTCACATCCTAAACGAAGATCACATCTAAGGAAGAAGGAGAGATGAAGATTGCATCTCATAAAAGATAAGACGAAGACCGCATCTCGTAAAAGATAAGAAGAAGACCGCATCTTAGAAGTCACATTCTAAATGAAGATCACATTCTTGGAGAAGTAAAAATGAAGATCACAAGGAAGGCAATGAAGCTTTCACTTATAAATTGTTTTCAAAGCTTAAAATTGGGTTATTCTTTTATTCTTTACTTTTCCTTTTTTACCAAAAAAAAAAAAAAGTAAAAAGGGGGCAACTGTCATAACCCAATTTTTACTGAGGGGCTAAATGATAAAATTAGAAATCAATGGACTATTTTTGTAAAGCTGGAAACTTTAAGGGGTTAAGAAGAGGAAATGGCAAAAAGGCGTCGTTTTGCCAATGGGTTAAAAAATAAAAGACTGGGGTTTCAGTTGAACCCTAGCCTCCCTATTTTTTCTGCCATGCCTCCCCTCTCATCAACTCTAACATGATGCCAAAAGGATTTCTTTGAAGATAAGCTCAGCCAATCAAAGGATTTGGATAAGGACGTACAAACCGTAAGTCATAAACTCCAAAGAGTCCGAAATTGATTCAAGGTGGGAGTCCTAATGCATAAAAGGTATGAATTTGGACTTAAAAGGGGTAGATGTGGAAAAAACTAAGAAATCCCATTCCAAATAGGATTGGGTTGTTATCTTAGGGATTTGCATTGGGAATTAGAAGTGCATTAGAATTGGGTTTTTCCCTTTGTCTATAAAAAGGGGCCTTTGGCTTTACAAAGGGAAGATGGAGGAAAAGAGATTCGAGAGTTGAGAGGGAGAAAGGGGAAACACAGAAACTTGTATTTGGACTTCAAGAGAATAAAGTCTTGATTTTTTTTTCTCTTCTTCAGGTGTGTATTGTTCATTTTTTTTTCTTTCTATGTTTTCTTTTGTTCATGTTTTGTTCTCTCTTCCTCTCTCTTGCGAATTGCTTGATTGCCCTTTTAATTGTATCTTTCTTGGTTTATTTGCAATTGATCTTGAATCTTGCCGCAAACATGATTTCACTTGTTTTTCCCCATTAGTTTGGTTTCCTACGATCCAAAATAATTATCTGCAGATTTTTAGTTTGTTTTATGATCTATTATTATCTACCTAAAGAGATGCATTTGATAAAATAAAAAAA